TCTTTGTTCATACGAGTCCGATATCTCGCGCATGCGTGGCGCGACGACCACCGCCCTTTGATACAAACAATTATGCATTAGTCATTACTTACCAGATTTGGGCTGTCTACTTAACTAGAATGTGTACTGGATTAAACTGCCGTTCATTTCACGCGAGTGTCTGTAATTAATTTCCCAAATTATGTGACACTATATGCCCATGGGTGTGCCATCCGAGTAGATGAATCTGGACCTACTTTATTGGCTTTCTCACCATTACCATCTGAGTTCTACACATGCGCAATAGCGTCAATACAACGAGCCTGGTTGTGTAAGGCTCGTTTGTTATTTTGGGCACCGAATGTAAAATTATGGTTCATTTTTAGCTTAGCATATAATATAAAGATGCATGCTAGACTAAAATAAATGTTGTAAGTCGCATCGTAAAATACATTGTAGACATACTAAGACCACGTGGCCATGTTTAATTTTTCTGCATTTAAATTCAACTGAATATTATTGAACTTGCATTTGTTGAATAATACATCCCGGTAAGTTTAAAATTAAATGTCTAATTAAAAATGGTTTATGATTATGAATAATTTTCAACAATAGGATTTATTTGTGTGTCAAATATCTACAAATAGCTATATATCATTTTTAAACATACATATATGAAGTGATATGTACAAGTGTTAAGTTTGACATAAGACATTTGATATAAGACGCCTGGCTGCAAACCGGAAACATTTGATGCATTATAACAGTGTATACACAACTCCGCGGGCCTGCCACGTGAGCTTTTGGGGGTGAACTCCAATCGACCCACAGTTGATCCGATCTGGAGTAACTGCGATTCACATGCTGACCAAGTCCATACTGTGCATACACGTGTCATATTACCAACTAAACCTATATCACTATATTATTATATTGGCGCCTACTACATGTACTTTGGGTTAAAATACTCAGATTCCCGTCAATTGAAAATATCGTGATTATAACCCTCATAAAAAGATTGGAATAAATCATACATTTTGAAATCTGGGATAATACAAATGATTTAGCGGATTTGTACTAAAATCATTTTAAATGAATTGTTTTTTTCCTCGGTAGACATGCATTACATCATTGTGGGACAAACTCAACATGTAATTACACTGTCTCTCGAGCTGCGAGACTACATTAGTTGGGTGCACATTCAGTTTAAATATATTAATTCCATTTGAAGGTAGAAATCTAGCACCTAGACAGAGCCTTATTGAGGACTACGTTGAAATGTCACATGATCACATGTTGGATCTCACATATACGTATATTGAGATTGGAGATTGCCATGTGATGTACACCTACGTGTGAATATTTAATATTCAGTGTAACAGTACCATTTGTTATTTGCTGTTGGTCTCCCTACATACAACATGTTAAAGTACACAGTATTGGTAGTTTGCCTCATCGTGACGGTGTATGGTAAGTTAGGCTTCATTCTTCTTTGGTGATGCGCATATTTTTGTTGTGGGTTGATTCTGCCAACGTGAAAACACAATTCCTTCCCCGGGGACATCGAAACACATTTCATATACTCTCTGTAATACACATTGCAGGCGATTGGGCATGTAGAAGGGAGCAAGGTACTTGTCAAAACGACTCTCTGCAATGTGAAGGTCATTACGAAAGTCGTTTATGTAATGGTGATGTACGTAGAAGATGCTGTGTTCCGAACAGTAAGTAGCTCGACGGTACCAAGACCGATTTGGAATACCACATTACCGAGTAGTCTATTCTTAGATGGCAGAGTACGCTAAGGAACGCGAAAATATAAAATTGTCGTCAATTATACATGCACAAAACTCCCTGGTCCACGATTCACTCGCCCGACACATTTGTGAGATGGCGTACACAGTTTTTCGTGGTTTCAAAATAATGCATTGAATGAACTCAAACCCAAAAAATAGCGCCTGAAAACCTTGGTATTGTGTAAATTAATTCTTGCCCTTCTATCGTGTTTGTCCTCAGTATTTTAGATTTGTAGCTTATGAAAATTTCCTACGAAGCTTTGTATAAGCACATGGTTAAAAATAGAGAAGATTGGCCACCCATGGACAACCATGCATGAAAACCATCTTACAATTTGGCGTAATACCTCAACAGGACGGCACGCATTTTGAACTATGACATTGAATAAAACAACAAGTTAATTATTTATCAGCAATACCTGTAATATAAATATATGTATCAATCACGCCTACCTACATGTATATATAGTGTCAGCAATGTTCAGATGAATTATTGACTATAATAGGATCTTCCTAGATTATTTCGCACGTGTCAATTTATCACCAAGCTTGTTTTCAGAATAACACATTTGATGAAATGCTGGTATTATTAAACTGTATCTGAATAAAGGCAATTATTGGATGTCACTCTGATTAAAATAAGATCCTATTTTAGGCTTTATTTTTTTCAAATATTTTTTCATTTTTTTTTAATTTTTCTTACTAGTATTTAAATTTATTATTTATTTGATCGTGAATCCCCGCAAGGCGATAGTTAAAATAATACAAAATAAAATGTACGTAATAAAATAAAATTCACGCTGTACAATACATAACATTTTATTCAGATTGATTGGATGTATATCACCCATACAGTAGTAACTATATTAAGTTTATACAGGAATTCACATTTTAATAACCATTGCTTAGGCAGGATTGCGCATTGTGGGTATTTATGTATGTTTCAGGTGACGGTGAAATTGAGGCTGTGTACTGTGGTAATGTACGTCTAATCACTCGACAGCAGTGGCGTGCACGTTCGCCGAGGCGTGAGTCGCACATGTCAGTACCTGTGGGACTCACCTTTATTCACCATACTGCCGGTCGTACATGCTATAGTATCGCAACATGTAGCAGCCGGGCGAGAGCCGTTCAAAACTACCACATGAACATAAAAGGTTTGTTTCTCGCTGCTCCGTTAGATTCACCCCTTATCGCAAATTCATCAAATTTATCAAAATTAATGACTTCATTCAGATTAAGCATTGAGAATCACTTTTGTGACTAGCACCATAATTATTGGATTCTGATAAATCAAATCAGATCATATAACACATAAATGTATTGTTGGATTAAAATTAAAGTACGGAACTGAAATGTAAGGTTCTTTTACAGGTTGGAAAGACATTGGGTACAGTTTTTTGATTGGTCAAGACGGTAATGCATATGAAGGGCGAGGCTGGGGTGTGGTCGGGGCACATACATATGGATTCAATTCAAGATCACATGGCATAGCATTCATGGGAAATTTTAACAGTCGCAAGGTGAGTCACATCTTAGCTTGATTGAATTACAGTAACTGGTAAACAGTTGTCATGTTAGTTTAGGTGGGTACATAGACCTGGTCAACAATCGCCATGTCAGTTCACATGGTTTATTTCTTGATCAACAGTTGTCTTTCAGTTCACCTGTATTAAGAGACTTGATTTTTGGCCAACAGTCGATAGTCAGTTTACCTCGCCTAGGAGATTCGATTCTTTGTCGACTGTCTTGTCAGTTCACCTAGATTAGTAGACTTAATGCCTGGACAAGGGTGCATACGTGTCACTGTGTGAATGTCTATTGAATGATAAGAATAGCCTAGTCTAAATTCACAGGACGGCAATATTGCAATATAACATAGGCATTGTGGATAAACTTGGCTTGTGCACACTCGTGTATGACCAAGTGTATTACCTCGTTCCCACACTCTGAAAATAAAGATATTTGAAACCGCATTCTTCATATATGACTATTAGAAACACAGTGCAATGCTATGTTTTTTATTATTCATACAAAGCAGAGCTTTCCTATGGATTGGCTTTACAAGGATGTTCATTCATTCAATATTACATTCCACGATTTATCATTCCATGCCTTTATCATATTTATCATATTCATTATGTACATCTTGAATACGTGACCCACTTACACATCGCATTGTGCATCACGTTCTTCTAATTGTAGATTTTACCTACCTGTGGGGTATACATTTCTCAACTGATTCACCATGCACTGGGATGTAGTACGTATGAAGACTTTTTAAAACACATTTTCGTTCACTTTTTTTGAAACATGACTTCACCTCATTTATGCTGTCTCTATGTACCTATATTTTTTCAATTTTAGCGTAGTGCAGTGTATTATGTCAATTGTTTGTTTTGTGTTTTGGGACATTTTTGTTTATTGTAAATTTCCCAACGTGACTTTTATTCTAGGAACCATGGTTGGGTATAGCATATTATATTTCACGCAGAATTGTTGACACAACTCGCGATCGTTAAATGCTCTCAAAACAAATCTCTCATATATTATTCAACTATTTAATAGTACAAATGTGCATTTGCCTAATTTTGACACGCTTACAAATTTAAAATCACGATGGAGCTGTCCCCGGTGACTTTGTCACCATGAGACACACGCAAAACCATCATTTTCTTTTTCCAATATTCAGACTTCGGTCCACTCGACAGACTGTTACACAGTCAACCACTGTATTTCAGTCGGCTAGACTTAGCCAACACACATCAGTAAATCCCCGAGTTATTGTGATCTGCCATTAACGCACTAAATAATGGCTTGGTCTCAGTGAGCTAGTTTTTCTCACTACCACAAGTGAGACCTCTACCGCAACTCAATTGGACCCCTTTTGTGCGATGGATTAGACTTCTACCCTGCCGTTGGTGGCAGTCCACAGAGACGTAGTACATGGCAGGCTGGCATGGCAGATATGGTACAAAATGAATGCCCACAAGTCCACCTAGGTCAGTTAACAAAATTGATGTAACCATGCACCGAGGGTTCAGTTACATACATGGGGATGTCGTCAACAGTGACTCTAGAACTAGCCTACCCAGCATTTGCAAACCCAAGTTTCCCGATATGAACCACGGCTATTTTAAAAGTACATGGTCAATAGAAAAAATGTCTGCCAAATAACTTAGACTAAATGTAACCAATTTATATCACACTAACTATTTTGAATCGGGAGGATCGTCACCTACGCACGCACGGAAATTGAGTCCCAAGCGATGATAACAACACACGCTAAAAACACAAAGGCTTATGGGTAGACGCTTGTTTGTAAACAATGACACGCTATGGCCATCTGACGCATGCACAGGTGACGATCCTCCGCTCTACGACATTTTCAAATGAATTTATCCGAGAATAGCCACATTTAAACTTTAAAAACTATTACTGAACCTATCATTTCAACATTTTACAGCCAAACGCCGCAGCTCTACAAGCAGCTAAGAACCTAATTCAATGTGGTATAGACGAAAACAAGATCAAAAGTAACTATTTCTTGTACGGCCATCGTGATGTTAAGAGAACAGAATGTCCAGGACGCGCTCTATACCAGGAGATAAAGTCGTGGCCAAACTAGGAATTATAAAGTTTGATCACAAGACGCAACTCACTTGAAAATGAATCACAATGGATATATATTAGAATTGGCAAATAGATAATACAGATGAATAAACCATATCTAGTCTACAAGTATATTTATTTATAAATAAAGCCTTATTTTTTTTATAGTCTATAAGCCAATACACAACATATGGAGAATTAGTAACACCTGAGGTGGAGAAAGCTATCAATACTTTTTTTACTGCACTTTTTATGTCGGCCACAGATATGCATAATCGTAGTGGTAGCTTTGGTGCACACTTGGAAAACAAAGGAACTAAAATTATTCTCGAATAATATGCATGAATATTTTTTTTTTCAAACTTTACATGTTCAAACTACTTTTCGTTCAAATCCATTCAGAATAGAAATATTTCAGATACATGCACCAATTTCATTCAACACTAGTAGCACGGTGGATACATCAATTTTCGTAGCAGTGGGTGTGTCTATTAGAGGCACCATTATCAACTCATATAATATGTTAGGAAATGATAGTTTAAATTAATTAATGACCCTTTTATTTTGATCAAATTATAAATAAAATGATGTATTTTCTATAGTTGTATTTGGTCAAAAGCGTAAGCTAAAAAATGTGTTGTCTATTCTATTCTCAATTTTTTTTTTCAAAATTGTCACAAAGGAAAAAACACGTTGTTTTTATACATGCACACTGGTTTCTGAATATCCGGTCTCACATATAGTTTTACAAAGTTTTATGTGATTTTATGTTGAAATCTTTGCCTATTAAATATGCAGATGCAATTTCGATGTGGTTACAAAATAGATTACATTTGCAACACACATTTAAAGCACATGCTTTATTAGCAATACAGTATATAGTTATTTTAGCTAGGTATTTTTTTAAATTAGCCTTGATGGATGCTCTGTACTAATTTAGTGCACCGTGTATTTGACTACTTTCAAATACTTCATGAAGTTACTTGGAAACGTGTATGTTATACCTAATACGTCTTGACATGTAGCTTGCAACTTGTTTTAACCATGTTATAATTTCGATACTTACAGTGCTGTTTCCGGGAATCGATATTACGTATGATTTCTTTATCGGTAATCTATCATGAATTTCGACTCAAGTCTTTTTCATTTGATAATATTTGTATTTCCAATTCCTTGTGCCTTGCCACTGTCACATAACGTATCTGGGAGAACCAAAGCGCATGCGTATAAGTGATTGGTTATTTCTTTAATGGTTATGTTCTCTCATAATTGGTTCTTCGTAGTACCAGCATCACCACCAAGACCCCATTTTACTATCCTAATTAATTCTTTCAAAATTTCAGAATAAAGAAAATGTCCCATAATTGTCTCAATACAACTGGTCAATTGTTGTCCCACTGGAAGTTTGCATAGTTCATATGCAATTCACCAGGGATGAATTTGTCTAATTGATGCAAGGTTCAAAATACAAATTTCTCTTCTTAAAGCATGGGTCATATACGGCATTTCCTTCCCTACCGTATCTATTCAATGTATAACATCAATTATGATGAAAGAGGGCCATTGTTAGGGTGATATAATTTATGTGTATAAAATAAGTGCATATCGGGTGGTATGATGGTGATTAAAATACCTGATGGTAACTGTATGTTCAAGTACACAATTTGGTTGTTTTGATCTCTGTGTTAAAAATAACACACGACTGGCAGCATTTGAAGCTACTCTCATCCGTTTCGCGATAGATAACATCACAATGTGTTAAATGAATTAAGTTGCAAGACATGACAATGGGGTCAAATCTGTCTCCACTTGCAGAATAAGTACTATCGAGAAGCATAAACATGGTTAGTAGAACTATGAACATATTGGTAACAATGAAATAGATATATTACAGTTTTCAATAACTTTGTCATAATTTCACACAATAGACTTTCACAGTTGCAGAATGATAATACTAAACAGAATCTTTAATAATAACCACAATTAGAAACAATATACTTACCAGCGTGCTTTGCGCGCGTGCAAACCCCACAATCAGAAAATATGACTGCATTCGGTACTGAATGACTATGTGGATAGGTTTACAGCCATATACAATTACTGCGGACCATCTCAGATTCCTATGGGTGAGATTACATTTTTTCACGACAGTTGAAAAAATACAAATTTTCAGGACAATTATGATTGATATGAGGAACATTAAATACACATATAAATTTGTAAAATATCACAAATATAATAATTTCTATCATGGTATAATAACAGAAAGCCCGGGACTAAATAGAGTCAGTGGTAGAAACAATACAATCCCAGCAGAGTTGGCACCCTGGTGAATGTATGCTAACAGCAACTGCAGTTCACATGTTTAAGCATCGGGAATCCTTCTTTCCAACTATTTACTTTCCCCTTTGACTTCAGACATTGATGCTAATTGTAAAGTTTGGCTACGGTAGTGTAGTGTCCGGGTCTACTCAACAGATTTGGAGTCACCTTCATGAACATAGGTACTCCCAGCCAGTCAGGAACACAAGGACACACGCGGTCGAAACTTAAGTATTAGCAATGACGTCATACTATCCATTGTGTCGATCGTTTTTTTAGTTTACATCACCTGTACATTCCTGTACATCACAAGAAAGTCAAGTATGCTATTAGGGGCGATATCTGAGGCATTTAGCACGACTTACTTTCATACATTTGTACATGTCGTATAAAATGTGCCTAACGTTGGGCTATTCAAATTCGGTTTACGGGCAACAAACATTTTAGTATTCGTTGAACGTCTATATTTAATAACCCGAATTTTAATTAACCGAACTTACGGGTTACAGGCAATATAGATTTTTTGTTTTGTTTAACGTTGTATATTTCCCTAACTCATAGTTCGGCTAACTGGTAATTAAAGTTCGAGTTACTTAAATTTGAACGTAAGTGCTATTGAGTGCATATATGTTCATGATTATTTATAGACTGGTACAGTCTGAGCGATTTATTTCTTTTTAAAGTTTAAATTAAAAACATATTGCGAAATGAAGGTGTTAACTCGAAAACCCCTGTAACCGCGTTTCGCATTCACCCCAAATTTCGCAAGTTTTTTATTATTATATTTGACTGAAAAAAATCACCACACTGGTTAGGTCTGGGTTATTTAGAGCAGTCGGCAAGGCATGCTGGGAAATGCCGTGGTCTCTGAAGTCAATCATTTTCGGTACATGTTTTTCCAAAAATATAATTGTCTCCCATCGAACACCTAAATGCACAAATAAAACAAACAAAATAACTAAATATGAAGTACACTACTTCCTTTACCTTTCTGTCGATATATTACAATGATATTTATAGTTTTGTTGCGCATTTAAAATGTGTTTATCTAGTGTTTTACTTATTGTCTATTTAATATGGATTGTCTATGATTGTAGAATTTAAGTTAACAAATCACTAAATAGTAGGACAACACGTTCACAAAATTCATTCATATCGTCTAGTATTAGATTGTTGAACGAGCTTAACTATTAATTATTTGATTGTTTGTTTATTCATTTATTTATTTATTTATTATATTTACGACTGTAATTTGCACACAAGAATTTCATGCTGGACATATCTTATCTTATCTTTACTCATCGAATTTTAGGTTACCAGTATCAAGTATTCAAATGCAACAATACAGAATAATTTGCGGCTTGGGTATATTGAATAAAAAGATTAAAAAAAACACGTCAAAATCCGTTTTGGGTTGAGAGGTGTTAGACCTTGAGTTTGTTTGCCTTTGGTCATAATGTAGCTTGTAGTCAAGGAAACCAGGCTAAGTTCAGTCTGTATTTTACTTACCCATCAAGCTTTGCAAAGTTTTTGTCTTGTAATTCAGAGTGGGTAATCACATTTACCTAACTTTCACTTTTTAAATATCTATGAATATACCCCTTTGCTAATTATTGTGTTCAAAAAGTAAGCTATATAAGGGTAAAAGTGGCTGAACAACAGGAAATGCTCTGCCTGTTGCCATGCTTCAAATGATGACATCATAAATTTAAACACTGTTTTATCGGTACTGTTTATCGTTAATCATTGTTATCAGTCTATAATTGTAGTTCAAAAGTCATATATAGAACTGTTGGAACCTACGTAAAAAAGGACAACATCCACCGTACCATTATTACGAACACCTGCTTTAAAGTAGTAATCTAAGGCGTATTAATAGAGCACTCCAGAAAATAATTTCCGAATGTCAGGTAACATATCACATTTCATAACTTTACAAACAAAGTTTTGATCTGTTATCTCTAAAGCTGTGAACACACCGTACTTTGACTTGAGAATACTATATACCGGATCTGAACGCATGTGCAGCACCTTGACTCGGTGGAAGCAATTATATCCAAGGTCCGTTTATCTTAAATCGATTACTGGTATTTACCGTGAAACATTATGGAAGACAAGAAGCGTATTCTAATTATTGGTGCAGGAGTGTCGGGATTGACTGCGATCAAGAGTTGTTTGAAAGAACATCTGCAACCAGTCTGCTTCGAACGAGACGATCAGCTGGGTACGTCCCACTTATCGAGTCCGTAATCTAATTCAGCTAGTGAAAATGGGAATTGCTAAAATCGAAATAAGCTTCGGCTCAATAATATTTTGTCTTGATTTGCCGTCTGTTTAGAAAGCGAAGTTTATTGATTTAAAAATCTGTTTCGGAAGTTTAGCAGTCAAGTGATATTACTTTTTTGATATCAAAACGTAAATTATTTTACAATTAAAATACATTTCCAATTAAGAGTTTATCTAGATAACATACTTCGAAGTGTCTGGGCAAATACATAAAACATACCCGATATACACTAAATAGATAGGATGCTGAGTATTAGTTTGACGTCATATATAAATTATCATCCCCACATCATCTTTCAAATGGTCAATTTTTAGGTGGCATTTGGTACTACACCGAAGACCTGAGACCCGGTCAATCGTCAGCTGCCTATAAAAGTATTATCTCCAACAACTCAAAGGAAACATTATGTTTCTCTGATTTTCCATTTCGAAAAGAAGATCAAGCATTAGTGACATATGACACAATTACTCAATATCTCGTCAATTACGCTGATCACTTTGGATTAGGCAAGTATATCCATTACAACAGAAATGTTGTCAAAGTTGAAATGTGCAAATACTATGAAACTACTGAACAATTGGATGTATCATACGTGGAAGGTGGCAGTGGGGTTGGTGACGTCACAGTGGAAACATGTGACGGTATAATGGTGTGTAGCGGCGGGGGATTAGGAAAACCATACATTCCTGCTATTCCAGGGCTGGATAAATTTAAAGGAATTACAATTCATGGAAATGCCTATAGACAACCTGCTCCATTTATTGGGAAAAAGATCATAGTGGTTGGTGAGTAAATCATTTTGCTGATAATAATAATAATAATTGGTGAAATTATATCAGGAAAATTCATTATAAAGGTGTTTGTTAGAACAGTGAATACTTGTTTATTGTTTTGTATATATTGTATCGCCAGTAATCAACAAAATATTGATAGATGAATTTTAATATTTACTTCTACGACTGGTAGAACCATACATCTACACAATGATACTATAGGCTACGTGCCACCAATTAGCCTTATCTTAAGCCAAAGTTTTTTTTTTCACTACGTTTTATTCGAAACGCGATGTATGAGGGCGTATTCCAATTACGTCAACTGTTAGACTTATGTGTGTAGCTTTGTTTATTGACCGGTGACCTGTGGATCTGGGCAATTCTAAATTAGACCCTTCCAAACTGCCTGAAGGTAGAAAGACTTACAAATCTTTGTGTTTTGTTTACATCCATTTTGTGGGAGCTTGAGCTGACCAACATGTGTTTTACTGGCTACAAATGAACCATATTACATACATGTTGTTTTAACAAATTAAAACAATATTTTGAACTTTTAAACACAATTGTCAGGGAAGATCACCTAATATTGTCGTCTATGGATTTCTAATCAGTGGCATGAGACCTACTATATATCTGTCATATGACGTGTATACCGCCCTCACACACACATCTATTTATGTTAAAAGTTTCTTCACACACTGCCGGTGCTGTAAGCTGTGAATTGGGACGTAATCAGTGTAGTAAGGTACGAGGCATATTTTTGTTCGACAGACCTTATATGGTGACTGATATATGCGCTGTTGATAAATGGTTTGGCGCCTCTTACTGTGGGGGTAACCAATCTGATTTTTTTATTTTCGGAATGCCGGGCTGCTTAACAAAATTTAAGTCATGTTTGTAAAATATGTAAAACGTGCTGTGTTTCACGCAGGCTTTCCATACATAGAATTCAATACATCTCCGAGAAGTAATAATAACAGCAGTAAACAGACGTTCAAAAACGATTAATACCACCAGTTATGTAAACGAATATAGATTGCTCATATACTATATTGAACATAGCAACCAGATAAGTCAATCTCGAGGGTTCTGATCAGAGCTGAACAGTTCATACAGACATTTGAAACGTGTGTGCATAATCAGCAACAGCTATTTAATTCTGGTCAACAAGAAACTTTTTTACTTCTAGCCTAGCATAATTGGATTTCTCTGTTTAGAATATGCACATGTCACTGCTTCATTGCATTGAGCTAAGTAACTAAACAATCATTTCGTTTAAGAGGGTATAACGAATTAGATGTTATGCCATGCTTTAAAATTGTAATTATTAAGATTATTTCCAAATTCCATAGTTTAGTATATAATACTGTCTATGTCTGTCTTAGGTTTATTTCTGTGTACGTAGACCAGTTATGGTCATGACACGTATCTCACTTGATGGTGGCTGGAATCCGGACATGTTCCTAACACAACGACTACGACAAATGTTGCCTGCTTGGTTCAGTAATTATAAATTTAATACTATTCACAGTTCTGCAACACAAGTAAGTAATATGTTTGTGCACTGATAACAATTACAATATGATTTGAAAATTGAATTGTTTTTTCTAGTGTGACATACGCAATTAACCGTTTGTCTTCTATAGTCAGCAACTGATTTCAGGCATCATTCAAAACTCCCAAAAATATATCAATTCTTGTAATATTAACATTTCATGAATGACATAACTATTGCCTTGCAATTACCATATTCTGTCATACAGAAATCACCTGGAACCATGGTAAATGATGAAATACTATATCGTATTGCTTGTAACCTTGTGAATGTTGTCCCAGAAATAGCCAGGATAACTGAGACAAGTGTGGAGTGTATCAATGGCAAAGTTATTGATGACGTGGATGTTATTATCTTGGCTGCCGGATACGAGATATCGTATCCCATTATTGATGAAACATTAATCTTTGGTGAGTGATATCAAACCCTCCTGTATTAAGATTTCAGAACGTAATGAATAACATGAACAGAGTTACTATATACATGAATAATGGTATATGTCCCGACTTTTACTTTGCTCTTTGGGGTTGAACATTCTCCCATCCATCTTTTCTTTTTTCCAATTTCAGGGATATGCGTGTGAAAAGATGATTCAGATTGCTATGGTGACAATTTCTTGGGTCTGTTTGGCGCTCTGGTAAATTCAATAATCCAAAGCTCAAGACGACTAATAGTGATTACCTGACCGAATCTCAAAGATTAGTATGTTTGCTTCTCTTTGACTCGCAAAGATTAGTCTATGATCCTGGTACTTGTTTGGGGAAAATATTATTTTGTGATTTCCAGTACTCAGACCTGTACATGGTCGATGGTATTCCCATCATGAGATGCCAAATAATTACTATGTGCTATCAAGTAATGCATTTTTTGTGGGTAACGGCCCTCTCATATTCAGGGCGAAGCTATTTAATACATTTTGATTTATGTATTGTTAAACAGATTCACTCGTCCACGCAAATTGTCTCTTGGTAATTGATTTCTAGCATTGTTGATTTATTCTATGCCGATAATAACCATGTGATTCCGATAGACCAATGGTAACATGCTGTTTAAATAATAGGTAGTATAGGTATTTGTGCCGACATTGGTCATCGTGTTTATTCCTGCTATGATAGGCTTTGCCCTTTCCCTTAACCAGACACTTTACTTGCGTGTTTCAAGAAGTGTATTAAAATGGCCTTGAATTCTGCACAAACCTTATGACTGAAGGTAAAATACAGCTATGATAATTGATTAGTTGAAGGTGGGTGGGTTAAAACTAGAGATTGCCCAGAAACGCGAGACAAATGAATGGGGTATCAAAATAAAGGAGGTATGGATTATTTCTAAAATATGGTTGTAATTGTCTGGTGGCAATTAGACAATCATCAATGTCTAACTCAATACCATGGCATGATGGATTTTTAGGTGGCCCTTTAGTGAGAACGTCAAGGTGGTGTAAGATGTCCATTGTGTTGAGTTCAGACTTTCCACTTCAATACAGCGACAACACGCGAATATAGATGATGCTGATCGTATCCCAAATGGCAAGACACGATCAAACAAATTGCACTACTTGAGTCCAAGAAGATGCCAGTCTTCTTTCTCCAGAGGGCACAATCTAAATGCATGCTTAACATCTACCAAGTAGAGTACCAAAACCATCCTTATTGATAATAGCCATTACATCTTTGAATCGTGTGTAGATTAGTGAATGGTCCTCTCCAATATCAATCCAGTCTTCTTTAAACATAGCCCAGTTAATTGATAACAAAACTGGGGAGTGATAGTGAGTCAAATTTGCCAATGGAATGTCCAAGAGTATTTTCTTTGTTGATGGCGGCAGAACCTCTGGTGCCTAATTCAATACCAAGGAAGGTAATGATCACTGTAAGTCCTTCATCTTTCTTATCAGAAATTGATATACCAAGAGTACCAAGACAAGACCATATATTTTGATAATAGCAATTACATCGTTGAATCGTGTGTAGTTTAGTTAATAGTCGTTTGTAGATTGGCAAAGATCCAATATCAATCCAGTCTTCTTTGAACCCAGTTAATTAATAAAACTGGGGAGTGGAGGTGAGTCAAAGTATTTTCTTTGTTGATACCGGTTTGTGAAACATTGGTTTGTAGCAGACTAGATTCATTGATCAGTGAAGCAAAGAAATGCTCCGCGTGAAATGCTAAGTAGAAATGAGGCAACAATTATTTTATCAGGGTGATTGTGAGCCAACAATTTAAGTTGGTTGTAGTGATGGAATATTTCTGTAGCTAGTGTTTTCATGTTCGCAAAAGGCCTTAGGGGTGCTGTACTGAAAAAGACGCTGACCTGAGAGTTGTGAGGGCTGTGGTCTCTTGCATTACATATCTTGAATGGGCATGGTGTGCTGCAGTTGGCAAGGTTATGATATCTGCAAGTTTGTATTTGGCGAGAGTACTGTTACCGTGGTTAGCATGTACTTGCTGTTGTTGATTATTACTGTATTAATAGGTGTTGTAGCACGATTACACCATGCTTTTGTGTGTCTCTTACGTTTGTAGCCAAGCATGTGGAAATCTGTAGGTGTCGTTGGTGCTGAAAGATATTCCAGAAATGAGTTTGGCAAACTCCAGTTCCGACCCAAATGATATCTGGGTGCATCTAACCTTGTCATATGCATGTTATGCCTCAGGTTTGCAATTTGAAGTTTGTGTACCAATATTGCGCATCTAATTGAATAAAAGTATGCTTCCTCTGCATGGTAATACGAGCAATATGCAGCGAAGCTAGCAAAACATTGGATACACGTTTATATGCATAGCTAGGATTCAAACTTATTGATGTCTTCAATGGAGTGAAAGTCATAAAAATTGGTATATTTATCTGTATTACTACCTGGTATATTGCACGATGAATGATACATCACTGGCTGCAATTAAAGTTGTGCAATGTGGTAAACAACCTGTGAGGGGAGTAAGTGGTTAGGTTGTTTCCTTGCAGTGTGTGGTTGTTACTTCTGTATGCGCAGATGCCATGGCATTGTTTATAAGTACCTTACATTGTTGACATTCAGGATTACTGGAGAATTATGACTAACAGTAGTAAATGAAGATAATAAAGTCCCGTTAATGACTATTTGCATTCATGAATTAATATCACAATGCTTGGATTTGATGTTTGCATATCAGCAGCAGCAGCAGTTGTGAATGGGCCCAAATAAAATCTTCCATGCTTGTCGAAAAAGTTGTCATCGTTATGTGTGCTATTGGACTTGTGTCAACTGGGAGTTTGTCCTGGTAACATGATGGACGTTGAACCTCTAGTTTTACTGGATGACGCTACTGAAAGCTCCCCTGGATTTCTTTGTTTTTGGCAAGTCTGGCAAAGGTAGATTATGCAACTTGGTACATGTGAAAAATATTGAATTTGATCGATCTAGTACTGGTGATGAATGAATGGGTTTCAAAGGCAAGGGATGCTAACAATGCAGGCATCTAATTGGTGAATAAGAATAGTGTAAGGAATAGAGCCATGGATAGGCTCTAGGTGTGGACATATTTGGTCACTGGTGTACTGACAATGTCCCAGTCGTTCAATACACTTCTATTTACACCCTTCTACCTCAAGTAAATCATCAGTACATACCATCTTCCATTTGGGCACCAAAATTTAATTCGGTTAAATTGACTTTCTACTTCTACCACTACATTATACAGGTTGCATTCAGAATAGGAGACATTTTAATGTGCATGGTTCGATTTTGTCTTCCAGATAAAAAAGAGAAGAAGAATATTTATCGATACATACTACCAGTAGGATTGAAACATAACATACTGTTGATAATTGGTAGTTTACTAAACCTGTACCTTACAACATGGAGTGCGTTAGAACTTCAATCACGTTGGAGTGCCAGACTATTAAGTGGACGTCTAAATCTTCCAAATATGAAGACCATGATTAATGATGTTCGTATACGACCTCGTGTCGGAAGAACATATGCTCCAGTAAGTCAGGAAGAACAGTCAGGGTGTCATTATTCTTGGAAGTTAAGAACTTTATATAATAATTTAACAGGGGCTGATTTCAGGCTGAGTGTATCATCTGTTCACATAAAGTAAACATGTTTGATGTATTGACAGTCATTGTTACTTGAAGTGCCATGTATTTGTTATAAATTTTCTCATCAGAATTTGATAACTTAAGCTGGGACAGGCTTATTGGTCTATCATACTTGGTTCATGGATATCCAATGAAATCAGGATGTACAACCGTGCAACAATATTTGAGTTTACCCTGAATGGGTGAACAAGGTGTAGAAGCCTGTGTCATAAAGAATACAAACAATTACATAAAATATGTTTGTATATTGCAGCTGCCATGCACTTCATATCAAGATGACCTTGCAAGAGATATTGGTGCATTACCGACTTTCTGGAATTTACTTATTCCAGACCCACGACTTCTCTATGCATATTATCTTGGTCCCGCTATTGCCGCATGGTATCGTCTTCGGGGCCCTGCTGCATGGGGAGGAGCTAAGAAGACCACCTTAAGCACGTGGGACAATAACAAATATTCACTCAATCAAACTACAAAAGTTATGAAAAGTTTAGTTCTTGCAAGTAGTCTATGCTTTGTTTATCTGTTAATTAATCAAGAGAAAGCTCGTCAATTTAATAATTCACTATACAGTATGCTTACAATTACAAACAAATGAACAGCATAAATCTATAAAACAAATTTTGTTGACGACCCTGTTGAAGTTTGAAATCTTTAGTTTATTGGTACATAGCTTTTCTATTGTGAGAGTTGATTACGAGCAACAATAAACAATTAGAGAAAACATTCTATATAATGTGTTTCTCCCTTGTTGATGATGTAATTCTGCTGATGAGAAATAAGTTTTAAACAATTTCCCTGTACGACCGACGGTACAACAAACCTGTGGGTTAGTTTTTTTATGTGTGGCATATGCTATTCACTATAGTATACATTTTTGCTTCATTCAAACGAACTGTTTGGTAGTTACATTGTATACCACTAATTACATATTGACAATTTTCCTCTGTAAGATATTTGTGCATCTAATCTAAATGATTGTTGCCGTTTTTGTTGATGCCAATAAGCGATTGTAGTTTAAATCATGTTATAATAACAACACGTGGGAGATTGGCAGTAATAAATAATTTATTTTCCAAGTGTTCATATGTATCATTACTGTGTGTCATCTAGAGGATCTAATGTAAAAGTATTTAGCATCTCACAACATGGCTTTAAAATACGGGTATCATGTCATTGTCAAATAAACTATTAGTGTAATTACATCATTCACGTTTCAGTACATTACAAATGTTATAAAACAGAAGATTTTTATAGTGTGCAATTAAGTTATTTGTGTGTTATAAATGTGAAGCAGCGATTTTGAACAATCTTTGTTTTAGTATAACCACATAAAGAAGACCATAGGCACACAGAGAGGTTTCTTAAGAAGGGGATATCTTTGATATATTTCATCCAGGATCTAAGTAAGTTGCCATCTTGCACTAAAATTCGCTTGACAAATTTGGATTTCAATTTTAATTCGCCCTCTGGAGACCTGGAAGCAATCTCGTAAAAGTTTGATTTGTCACTTTAACATAATAGCTGTTTTCTTTGTTATCCTTTCTTGATAAGGGTGTACACAATCAGGGCTACAAGAGGCATGTTTATATTGATTTTTCACTAATTATTTATATACAAATTACACTGTAATTTGAAAAGCTATATTGAAACGATTCATTGATGCTAATGGCAGTTTATAACATACTTATGTATAGCTTATAGCCTAAAATTTTAAACTCATTTTGTTTTTGACTTGATGGTGAGAGAAGAAGGGAACAAGTTGGAGAATGAGTGTATTGCTCAAGAAATAAAACTCTGAAGGCTACCACTCCTAGCTTAGAATATCACTAGAATGGTTCTGAAATTAACAGCCACCTGCTTCTGAAATTAAGAGCCGTACTCTGGAATTAGGACCTGCTCATAGTTATGGGGAAGTAGTCATGGGGGGGGGGGTTCAGGAGTAGAATATCGTAACATTATGAGGTGAAACATTGTTTGTAGAGCTCGTTGATGCAGGGTGGCGAACATGGAGTGATCATCTAGCAGGCATGTTAGTACAAGGCTTGCAACTCACTGCATCTCCTGCATGAGACTAAGGCAAGTAAGTCAATCGGCTAGGGATGATGCATGTTGCAGTTTGTATGGCTCATGGTAAAGTAAGTGAGTATTTTGAAATTTTCTTGCTCATACTTAGCCACATAGTAGAGGAAAATCTACTAGCTGTGGCATAGAGGGATAGAAAACATATGATCACTCTGTATAATCAAACTGGGCACTGACACATAGAATTTAGCATGAGAGCAATGATAGGGACCTGTCTAATGTGTCATTCTTGTATTAATTGACAGTGAGAGTTTCTTGTATGTAGATTCATTGACAGCTTTTCTCGTGATTGATGGAAGAGCCAGATTAATATATCATCCTCTTGACCACAAAACACTGTCTGGTCAGATGATTTGGAATGTGTAAACAAGCATGTTTTATATCCAATGCATCTAGTGAACCACTCATCTTATGGATGATATCATCTTAAACGAGTTTAGCTAAACATTTTATCTTAAAGTAGTCAGATTCATCAATGGTCTCAACTCACCCTATGTTAGGAAAAGTGAGTATAGACCCTGGTGCACAGCATGGTTGCATCCTCCAACTTCCATCATCTTTACCTCAGTTTGTTTTATTCATTGGTAACATTTCAAATATATTGCTGATGGGGTGAGTACAAAATCAACAGTTTTTGAAACGGGTGGCACCAAACAAAACATGACATGACAGAGTCCTTTTTAACAAATGTTTCGGACAGTTGAACAGAAAAATCCTGCTCCATTGTAGGATAGTTAAGATAGTAGTCTAATTTGCAAAAGAAGTGCCTGGTAAGCAGAGACTGAAGTAGAATCATTTTCATCTTCAGAGAGGTTCCCTTAAAACATTGTTTTGATTGCAGGCTCAGGCAGTGGTAGAATGTGCTCTTTCAGTGTTAACAATTTCAACTTAAGATCACATAGGTGGTGTAACCAGGGATACAGGTGGTGCAATATTGATTCGGGTGATTAATGTCACAGTGTCATACTTCGCTTAATAACCAACTTTGCATCATAACAAGAAGGTGGTGGATGACAATCAATAGATAGTCTCGGATTCTCCTGTGTGCTGAAGGTATTAGAAGCATGAAGTACAAATACATGTGTTTCTATTACAGCATTACAAAATATAACTGCAAGCAATAACAGTGGGTCAAAATAATATAAATATTTAATGAAATAATGGCCATAAATGATGACTTGATATTTTGATCATATATCTTGTCAGACAAAATGCATAATGAGGTCATATAACCATATATAGTCATTAGAAACATTAGTCATATCACATTGATTTCAACCAAAAACTAATCCTAGTACATCTATGTATCAAGTTTCATTGAAATCTCTTGAATAGTAATTAAGAAACGAGTTAAAATTCTTAAAATTTACTAATATGCAAATTAGGTAATTAATATGCATGTATGTGCACGCACCAACTATCTGCAAGACTCCAATTGTGTGCTTTGCATGTCATGGCCAGGCAACCGAGCACAAAAACGGTTTCCTTCTATTGGATGCGTTGGCTCAAATTTTAATTCAACAATGGAGTGATCCAGACATGTCAGATTGTACCAAAGACATGTTAATTATTGGCTTACTGTGCAAAATAGAAAATAAATTTACAACTTACATAACACTCTCAACAAAATTCTGATCAAAGAATGTTTATTAATATTATGAAAGCAATTACATGTAATTAGTATGCACATAAATTAGTAATAACATTTCAGACTACTATAAACTAATATCAGTCATGTATCAACACAAATGACATGTAAACAGTTACAAAGATGTACAAATAACATACTAATTGGTCAAAATAACTACTTAAAAGCACAGATTAATTCCAAAAAAATAATTATCAACTCATTTGAGATAACTGTTAAAATGTAAACAAAACATGTTGTTAATATCATATTAGCTGATTAATATGGACAGAATAATCACAAACAAGGGTTCAACATTCAATTAAACATGTACATTATGGCGATGGCAAGTTTCAAGCAACTGAGAAAACATGATATTGAGGAAACAGTAAATTAGTATGCTAATTAATTTGCACAAATTAACTAAAAGCATATTTTTTGTTTTTGTTTTTAGTAATATTTTATTGGGGGTATCTCATATGAATTACAATACTTGAAATACACAATAAAATAGGATTTCTTGTATTTTCTTGCTCATTTATAAGTTCCAATACTTGGTTTATAACTAGCTTCAATGACCTCAGTACATTTATTACATCAGTCTAACCCATAACTTTCAGAAAATTTCCCCATGTTTTAAGTGTCCTTTTAATTT